ATACATAATAAATAATATAAGAAAAAACACTTTTTAGAGTATAGTTATAGTGTATATGAAATTGATTGTCGAAAAGTAGTGCACTGTTTATAAAGTATAATACAATTCATCGCTCTCTCGCGATATAAGTTATATATTTTGTCCGCACATCACATACGAGTAGTAAATGTGCAAAAATATATATCATATGCGATGAAAAGTGTGGAAAAACAACAACAAAACAGCGAAAAGTGTTTTCTTTGACTATATTTATGGCAATATATTCCGTGAATTGCTTTTAATTTAATGCATTGACTCAACGAATTGCTTAAAACATTCACATTTCCATTACATATACGGTATATTGAAAATGCATGAAGTGATCCGTCTTGTAGTCACATCGCTATCGTATTCAATACATTGTGTTTATTATTGTATTTTAATATAGGGAGGGGTTTATACTGTATATTAATTTGTGTTAAAACCTCCGGAAGCTAAACACAAGTTTAATTTTTTACCAAGAATTACATGGAATTTCAAAACCAGATTATGTTTTGACGACTAATCGTTTGTTTAATGTGTAACTATTATATTGAAAATATTTGCAAATTTAATCTCATTTTCGAAATGTAAAGCAAACTTTAAGTAAAAGAAATTATTTAAATTATAAATACATTATTTGCGATACAAATATAATGTAGATTTAATTATTATTTCAATTATTGCTTCAGAAATAATAAATATTTTAATGTAAAATGACTTTTTCAAACGAAATTCAATTATATTTAAGTTGTCAAAAGTGTGTCACAAAATGCATACAAGTGTTCAAAACATTTGATAATATAAATATTAGCGATGAATCAGTTAATGGCAAACATTTGCCATATATTAATGCTATGGCGATGTCGTACATCACTGGCACTTAAAACACTGGCGAATCGATTGTTATTTCAATTAAAATACTATATATTTTTGGTGAAAATTTTTAGTGATAATGAATGGCTTATTATCGCTTGTTTTCATAGCTATTCTGGTGATTGGGATTACGGTTCCGGACGTCACCACCGGATATATCATAAGTAAACGATCGGACAATAATTATATCTCTTCTAATATGATGGTGAAAAGGGATGACAAAGTGGCCGCTCCAGTACCTGAGCCTCCTATACCCGGTATGTTTTCATTTAATGTTTACATACATCTAATTAGTAAGTAATAATCACTTATCTCTTCAGATGATCCCGAGTGGAGAAAAGCTCACAAATGCGTTGAAAATACAATTAATGGGAAGAAGTTTACGATTTGTATGAAAGACGCCTAACCTATGGATTCAATTATATCAATGTTACACATATTTACCAATTTAAGCTAAACTTACCTTATATTTTATAATTAATGAAATAAATAATTGTTAAATCAAATCACGTGTATTTGCAGTCAAATAAAATTGTCTTGTATCCACTTTCAATGTCTTGTAACTTGTAATTAGTTACTTCTGTGATTATTTTACACAAATCATAAATACTCTAAATTATAAATAAATACATCTATTATAACATATATAAAGCGTATATTTTAACAAAATGTTTATTATGTTTATTTACACATAACAATAATTAAAATCTACGTTTGTTTGCACATGGTATTTGAAAATAATGTCATTATATAATGAACAATCATCGATAGCAATATGCACAAATGGACAGGTAATATAGTCAACAATGATAAGTAAGGGTCACATACGCTAACCCTGATTAATATGGTTTGTTATTCATAAATATAATACCGGTATAATGTTTATTTTATAACAAGAGCAATAAATTGGTTTTCATAACATTATAGTATAAAACAAAAAAGTGCCATGATAATATATTTTTGCTATTAAATTCTGTGTTAAACTTTTTAATAAGTTTCCAAACAGAATAAGTTTTAGATTTTTGCAAACGATTGAAGTGAAAGTGACTGCAAATTGAGTTTATTTATAGTTAACTTATTTATGTAAATATGAATCCACTTTACATTACTCTCTAATATCAGACTTTTACATAAAATTCTGGTAAAAAATAAGAATTTTAATTGAATTTTCAGATAATCAATACTTTTAGCACAACATTCAGCTTACAAGACATGATTTGATTATGGTAAACATTTTTGATAGCTCTCTCTCTCTCTCTCTCTCTCTCTCTCTCTCATTCACTTCCCAATGCTCTTCCTATTCACGCATTAAATTAATTATTTAACAAAAATGAAAAATAATTTTTTATCATTAATTAATTTATACCGATTTTGAAAAGTGAATTAATATCCTGTGTTACGGAAACTAATCGCTTATATATTAATGCAATGTTATATAAAATTAAGTTAAATCAAAATTTATTGTACATATTTCTGGGATTAATTTATGTTTTTCATTATATTAATAGATATTAATATTATGCTATATTTATAACAATAAATAATAATAAATTGTATTTTTGAGGCCATTTAGGATGTGATGTGAAAAAGAGCCGATTCTTGTGCTTAAAATTTTTATGACTTTATTTTCATCGCAAAATTTACTCAAATATTTTTCATCATATCTTGTGTTTCGTAAGCATATTATCGATAATTCAATTATGTTTTCGACAAATAATGTATTCTCCATATGAAAGCCATAATAATATTAATAAATTATTGTTTATAATAAGTTTGTATTGTTTTCTTGTCGTTCAAAACCCAATCGAAAGCAATAAAATTTCTATTTTATCACATATTTCTTACGAAATGTAATAAACATTCAAATGTTATTATATTTACATTATTTTTCATCAGCAGTAATGGCATCAAAAACAATATGTAATAAATATATATAAAACTCTTAAAAATAAGTTGTGTTTTAAGGAGGGATTGATTATTGGATTATATCTTTCATTATTGTGGATATTTTTATGGATTATTCTTATATTCAATAATAAAATGATTGATAAACTGAATGATTGGCATATATTTTATCGAATAAAATAACAAATTTCAATAATTTTATACTTAATATCTTTATTAAACTTTTAATTTTTATTATTGTTATTGTTTTTATCACAGAATAATGGTATTAAACAAAACAAATAAATCCAAAATATTCAATAAAATACAATTATTAATAAAAAGTGGATTAGTTTTTCTCATTTGAAATATTTATCAATAAATTTTTATGTTATAATTACATCCCATGCGATGATATGTCGTGTGAAATGTTATGTGTTTTTTAAAAATCTCATCCAAAAACGTCAACATTTTAATCGTATTATCAATTAAATAATTATATTATCAAATGAATAGCAAATAGACATTAATTATTTGTTACAATTAATTCATTTATACAATAATTTACAAGTAAAATCATGATTGTATTAAAGTGGGAAAAATTTCTTTATATATAATTAATGTAAATATTTATCTAAAATTGAAAATTTATATTTTTAAAAGTAATATTAAATTTATGAATTACTATTAAATTAAATGTGAAAATGTATTGTAAATAACAACAAGAGTTTTTTTAGAGAGAGTTATAGATTTCCACATAAATATAATGATAGGCTATTTGTGTGACAATAAATATCGCACACAACCAAAAAACGTTATGACATTTTATTTAGCATTCAATAGTTATATACACAGAATATTCTTGCGTTAACGCATAGATTGTTATATTGAATATTAAATTATATACATTATACAAAGACATGATTGGTTGATGGCTGTAGTGGTGGTAATGCGTGATAATGTGGTGATCAGTGGTCGGGTCCGGGCTTTTGATAGCCCAGATTTTTTCGTTGCAAAAATAGGCCGATTTCATGAAAGGGCGGCCTCTGGTTCTCATTGGTCTGCCAGCACTCGACCATC